ATATATATATATATATATATATATGGATTACCAATCTTAAAATTCAGAGTTGAATGAGGAGAGATGTGCTATTATTAAAGTTTATAATCAATTGTCTTTAAATGTAAATAATATATCACCTGGTATATTGAAGAATAAAAATTTCAATTTTGACTTGAAATTTTTAGTTTAAATTAATAATAAAATATGGAAACTCTTTAAATTATTCAATACATGATTTATTTTTAAACTCTCAAAACCAAACAGCATCCATAGACTCTTTAATATCATCCTGATTGTCTCTTCGTAGCTTAGTAAATAAAGATGCCTCACCACTTTTCCTTACACGTCTTGCTTGCTGAGCCTGTTGTTTTCGTTTAGCCTGACTTCGGATTCGGCTTCTTGCTATTTCTGGAGGTATGCTTGAGCATGCAATACTAAGTGTTGCACGGGATGCTGAATCATTTTTTTTCTGATGTTCATTTATATGATTTTGACTATCCTCATTTCTGAATGGTCTGAATTCATGATTAGCTTTCTTTAAATCTTCTAATTTATCTATGGCATCTTCAAATTCATGTTGGTCTTGTTCAGAGCAACTATCATCGTCCTTGGTGGCTTCAGATTTAGTAAGAACCGACAATCTCAGGGCAGTTTCTTCTGGGTTATCTTGAAATGACTTATTCTCCATCTGATGATCATTTGAAGATGTGGGTAAATTATCGGCAGAGCACTCTTGAATTTCTGATGTGTGCTCAATAAACCCCAAATCAGCAAGTCTTTCTACCAAGGCTTCGTCTTTAGAATCAGATTGTGCCAACCATTTGAGTATTCTAGGGTCTTTGCCAGCTGGAGCAGTACTTTCCTCCTCACTGTCATTTGTGTCAGATGTTTTTTCTGCATCATTCTCCCTGTCACTTGTGTCAGAAGTCTCATCTACATCCTTTCCAACTTCATTGTCTTGGTCATCATCACTATTAACATCCTCCCCAGCTTCTGGTGTCTGCACAATTCCCATATCATTCATTGTCTGTGTAAAAAGATATTCAAGTTACATAACTTTGGTTGGAGTAAGTCATCTAGGAGAGTTTATTGATAAACTATTGATATATTAATTCAACTGAATTGAAATATTAATTTAGATTATAAATTACCGGTAACAGAAATGGATACATTAACCACAACAGAAAAAGGAAATAGTATTATTATAAATTGAGTATTTTAAAATTATAAGCTAGTTCTAACCTGATCAAAGGCATCTGATAATTCTTTAGTAAAACCACTTGCTGCTACCTCAATGTCTAAAGCGTCAATTCTCCTGAGGAGTTAAAAGTTCAATTGAATAACACTGTGACCAGTTGCAATTGTAGGCATATATAATCAATTCAGTACCGATTTCATCTTTCAGCTTGACCATTCCACTTAATCAAAATTGAAATTTCAAATCTTTGAACAACATAATGCCTATTGGTAGGGAAACTAATAATATGTCAACAAGCCATGTCAGCTGATATAATGCATGTGCAGTGATAAATATATGATGGTAATGTATCATGCTTATTGTCCCCATAGGATAAACAAAACCTTAACCTAAAACTGTAAAAATATCACTTGTCCTAATTTTTTTTCACCATTGAGCAGCACTGAGCATGCAGTCACAGAAATCTTCTAACTTATTCTCAGCTCTCAAACCAAGCAACAAATTTTTAAGATAGTTACTCATCATACTATTACTATTAATGGTTACAGTCTTAAGTTGATTTGTGGTGTCAAGTTTGTTGTTTGATTTGATGAACTTTAAATAAGAGTTTTGTCATTCAATTTACTGAAATGTTTGCCACAGGAGAATATCCTCTTAATTAACTGTTTCGGTTGATAACTGAATACACACACATAATACTTTGATGCAACTCACTCTAGATCTGCAAATGTTGGATGAAGTTCACTTTCGTAGTTAAATCTTTTAGCAAAAAAAGTTCTGATACATTGCACATCTCTGTCAAAGTACCTATATAAAAGAAAGGTGGTTTTTTTTTAGCTTTATGTTTAAAAAAAAAGCTGTTATTGTTATTTACCTATTTAAAATCATCTTGAACAGAGCGTTAACTACAAAAAAACTTACATTTCTGCATTAGGATGAGATGTAGAGATCATTTGAGGGAAATCAATCATAGTGATATGATCTTTACTGTCTAACATCAAGTTAAACTCATTGAAATCTCCATGGATTAAACCGTGATTACCAAGTTTGACGATAAGTTCCATGCACTCATTATATGTTACACTAGGATCTGATAGCTCACTTATTTGACACCTGATAGGATGAATTAGAAAATTACATATCGGTTGAGAATTTTAAATACATTAATTACATGTAACAGTAAGCCAGCTCAAATCTCTAGTATGGTTTTCTTTTAAAATAGCTATATTTATATTTCATTTATCAGTAAATATTAAAGAAATTAATACTTTTATTGTTGATTTTTGTGTAAAGTGTAAAATAACCGAAAATCACCATAGCCATGAAAATTCTGTTTTCAGATAATATATATTTGCATTTTTTTCCTGTTCTGAGTAAAGCTATGCTAAATCTTAAAGTCTTAGTGCAGTCAATCTTAAATATTATCAATTTTATTTTTAAGCACAGCTATGTCTCAAAAGAAACATCTGGCAACTGTAATAAACGTCTAAATATAATGTAATCAGCCTTCTGAACGTAGTTTTAACAACTTTAGATGCAAAATATTAAATTTAATTCTCCTCACATGGGATGGCCACTTAACAGTTCCATTACGACAGCATGGCGATTATAGTCCTGAGGTTTTGGCACAGGAAACTCCTTGTCATACAATGCCTTTAAGAAGGAATACTCATTAGATTAAAATTAAAGTAACCAATAAAATATGTTGTAATCTATAAGTCTATAGAATATTCATATCCTGGATTTTCTGGCATCTAGTTTACAGTTTCTAGATGGTGAATATGGCTTAAATATGGAGGAAGGAATTGAAAGGAGTTATCTAGAAATTTGACCACTTAAGAGATATAAATATAAGCTATTTAGTTGTAAAAATAAAAATTAAAAGGGGGAAAAAAAAAAGTTAAGTTTCCTATAGTCAATGAGGGTTTGAACTGTCATGGCTTACATAATGATTTTACTGGATTTAAAAAAAATATAGGTGAATGTCTGAAACACTTTGCCTTCATGTAAGCAAATTCCTTCGTTGCTGCAAGCCTCCCAAGATACAACCAAGATGCAGACTTTCTATACTTCATGTAATCCCGCTTGTTCTTTATTTGTCTAAAGCAAGTGCGCCCAAGTCTGGGAAAAGAAACAGCATTAAGAATGCATGTAAGTCGAATATAATGAACATTTAAGACAGTGGTTCTCAACCTTCCTAGTGTCGCGACCCTTTAATACAGTTTCTCGTGTGGTGGCGACCCCGACAATTATTTTCGTTGCTACTTCATAGCTGTTAGGATATGTGTTTTCAGATGGTCTTAGGCGACCCCCCAAAGGGGTCGTGACCCACAGGTTGAGAACCACTGATTTAAGATGTCTACACAGCAATATATTCTTAGATTAATATGGACAACAATTGCAATCTGGTAAAGATTAGGCTATCTGTGCAGTTCTAAAGATTGGGGTTACCTGTGCAGTTTAAGGGCATATTGCTTTTCTTCTTCATCAGCAACTATGTAGACATCTTGGAATAGAAAGGCAAACATTAAATACTTCAATCAATATGTTGCTTAAATGGGAAGTTTATACTATTGAGTTAAAATGATTTTGAAAACTGCATATAAAATAATTTAGCAAATAATTCATTTTATTGATGTAAATATTGAACTCAAATTTGAAAACGCTAGAGAAGAACAATAAATTTAATACCGGGTTTGTGAAACTGCAGTCTAATAAACATACCTGATTCTTTTCCAACTCCTATTTGATTACCCACAGATGTTATAACATTTTTTTCAGTCAATACTTTCAAAGCAAGGAAATCATATCCAGCATTGGTTAAACGGTAGCCACTATCTATAATTAAAAACAAACAATATCAACTTCAAAATTAAAAAAACTTGAAAAAAAATAAATGTATTATGATATCAGACCTGCCTACCATAGCAATTCAAACAAAAAATATGAATTCCACCCCCATCCCAAAAATATTGTTTCATGTGAAAAGAGTGTTTAATGAATTTCAGGGAAAATTGTGTCGCCTAGATTTTACTTTAAATATTGCTTATCTTTCTCATTTATTATCTGTCCGGTTGTTTCAATTATCTAAACTTGGTAATCTAGCGAACCCCTCATGAGTATAGAAACCATGCTGAACTTAGAACTCTCGTAATATATATATGTAAGAAAATAAGACAAAAAAATAAGATTTCTCAAAAAAAAAATCAGTACCGGGTAACCTTATAAAATCAATTTGACTGCATATAGGTAGGTCTTTAAAAAAAAAAACATTTAAATAAAAATATACACTCACATCTTTTGTTGCCTTGTTCATAAGCCACTAGTCCATGTTTATGAAGCTCTCTTAATTTTTTATGGCTTCCACCAGCTGGGAGATGGGCAATTGCAGCAACAAGGGCTGCAGGAACAAGTTCATGGTTTTTCATTCCCATTTCAACCTAGATTTTAAAATTTAAAAAAATAAATATTGTCTACCAAATAAAAAAAATACTGTGCCAAGCAGATTTCCTGATTACTTATTAATTTGCCTCATTGGCGAATCAATACGTCACTGATTGTTAGGAATTATATGTATTTTTAAATTTATTATACACAACTGTTTAATAACAAACAATAGGGTTTCCCACCATCTGCAAATTTGTCCTAAAAAAAAATGACTTGCTGTAAAATTCCTCAAGACCTTGAGGAAATGCGTAAAATATTCGTAAATGAAACAAAATGGGAAATTTCAATTTCAGTGTTTGTGACTTCTTCTTACTTTTAACATATACGGTCATAAGCAGAATAAATTCAACCTGATGAAAAAGTATGAATGAATGCCTAGACACACTGCACGTATCTTATTGGCAGTGGAAAAAGCCACCACGAGAAAAAAAAACTATTTTCAATACAACTAAAAATTTCAATCAATATACAATTTTTCATATGTCAATGGGACATAAGTGCCTGCTTTTGACTTATGAGATGGTCAATGTATTATGTATGGTTCCATATCTTTCACTTCTACCCATATGATGGCCAGTTGGGCTAAGTTAAGGACCCTCAGTAAGCCGGATCTTGCCTGCGGGTTGTAGTTTGAGGACCTGTGCTTTAATGTATGCCATTGTCCATTGTGAAGAGCTATGTCTAAGCCTAATAAAGTTATAAATAATAAATTATTATTATATATATATATATATATATNTATATATATGTATATATATATGGCATGCTTCCGTCTTTGCTGGGTGTTGGAGTTACTATTGACACTTCATCAAATGGCTTACAAGGCAGATCCTAGAATAGCAGTTTTGGCTGCAATTCTTCCAGGAGAACCTTCACTCCTGGTTAAATATAGCCTTCCATAATGCTCATTTTGTTGCCAGGGCTTTGTTTTTCACATCTTATGCCTATTTGACTTCATCACACACTGCTGTTTGTCAGCTGAAATGGTGCACAGTGTGGATCTCCCATTCGTTGATTTCTATTTTGGCTTCCCATATACTCCAATAAGTCTTGCCAACTCTCCTTGGTATGGTCCATACTGCAAAGTATTTGGAATACAGTGCTTCATTCTCCTTACATTTACATGATCTAACCAGCGAAGATGCCTCTTACTAAGGGCGAAGAACAGGCTACACATTTGGGCTAGGCCTATTCTTTTTAAAAATTATTTATCAAGGTAAAAAAAAAAAGCAAAAATAATTTGAATTATTAGTGCTAGGGGTGTACTGTACTACACTATAGACTATGGTGATTTTCTTCTTAAATTAAAAAAAAAGGTACGACAAGAGTAAACGAGTCCTCAACTACTCAGACTCAGACTACTGCCTTCACTTACTAACTTATAGAATAGTATAATAGGCCTAGTTAAATATTTGGCAGTGTCTACACGTCCGGCGCGCCGGACGTCTATCTCCCGCACTATGTGTCCGGCGACCAAGTCACATGACCGCCGTAACAAAGTGGCGAGAGATATCTTGTCAGTCAGCCTTGTCACGTGACTGCGAATAATTCAAAACTATTGTTAATTTTAAAATCTATTTCTCTACCAAGTAATGTACTGAGTATCTTGAATGCAAATAATAGAAAAAAAAACTTAAATGAAAGTGGCTTGTAAACATTTTTTTGAGTTTGTGTACCAGTAATCCATAAAATAAATTAGGGGCCAGTGTGGAGTAGGCGTAGGCAACCAATAAAAGTTAAAGTAAAAGATTTCATTTTAAATTATTTCAATTGCTACAAAATATTTAAAAACTTCTCATGAAACTACTGTTGCTGAGGAACATGATAATATAAATATATACAAAATATTTTAATAAAAATGGGAAGAAAAAAAACCACCCTATCCCCGGTATAGATCCTCAAAACTTCCTATCGTCAAGCAACTACTCTACCACAAGACCAGACAAGATGTACTAAATCGTATTTCGTTTGGAATTATAAAAACTACAAGCCTTCCGGCCATGTCCGGCGGTCATGTGACAAGCCGCCGGACGTATATCTTGCGCACTACACATCCGCGCCGGACGTGTAGACACTTCGTAAATATTTTTATTTGGCCCCCACTCCTACATAATTTGTAAATAGGTCCTTCCTCCCTTTAGTATTTTTAAAAATAAATTATGTTATTTTATTATTAAATTTTAAATCAGCTAGTGTCAGTGCTAAGGTAGTTACAGTACTGGTATAGTATAATTAATAATCCTAGAGTCTGTCACCTAACACTAACATCATTAAAGTAATGGCCTAATACTAATTAATTAGGCCTAACTAATAATAATAGTGACTCTAGTGCTACAAGAGTTTCAGTTAGTCTACATTACATAAGACACTGACTATTAATCTTTTTACTAACTCATATACGGAAATTTGATCGAAAGTCGAAAGAAATTTCGTCGAAGGTAAATTGATCAACGGTAATTTACTTACTGCCACAAGAACACGAAAATCTTCTCGGCTCAAATAGCGCAAAGCTTTGACATCTAACTTTCCCATTTCTAATCCAATCAAAAGATTGAATCTATTGAATCAATCACTATAAATAAACTAATGAAGAGTTGTAATGATTTGTAACTGCAGTAAATTTCCAAGGCAAAAGTATCCGTAGTATCACATGTAAAGAAAAACAGTAAATCCCGGAAATGAATTTTTTAGTAAGCACTCTTTTGTCCTTTCGTCATTCTTATGTCAAAATGCGCCCATGGAAAAAAATCCTGTAATATTTTCCTCTTCATTAATATAATTGAAAGTAATATTGCCAGTATTTTACAGTAGATACTTTCTCTAACTAATATTTAAATTATACCTCCATTTTAAGTTTTCATTCTCACTAATTAAGAAAAAAAAAGCATAAATTAAAAGTGAATAGGCCTAAAAATCGACCGATAACAGACTACTTCAACTGTCTCGAAACAATTGCAATTGTTCCTTGGCAGTGTTTCTTAACAATTTTTGAACCATGCCTCAACCGAGCAACTAAAAATGTTTAATGTCTATTCTGTCATATCTAACATTGCCCCAACTTGAAATTACCCCGCCCCAAAATCTTCATAATGCCCTTCACTTGGAGAATATGCCATCCACGTGGAGAGTATGCCTCACGGTGGGGAAAACTGGTCTAAACTGATTTAAGTTCTAAAATAACAGATAGTCGAACTCTACCCGCAAATTTGTATTTTATAGCCTAGCATAAAAATAATAAGTAAACAAAATTCAATGACGATTAATTGATTCAATTTTTTAATCCTTTTATATTAACTTCGCTTTTGTTCGTGTTTCTTTTTGTGCTTGTGGCAAAATCTTCGGAAATGTTAATTGATCCACTTTCCGTCAACCTATCAAGCTGAAACTTGGCACATAGACTCGTTGCCGATGACAAAACATCTTTCAAAATTTCAGCCCCACCCACACTCAAAATCAGATGTCATGCTACCAGATGCCACTGATTTCACTAAATAAAATTCCTAACTGCGCTAAATGAGCTTCTTAAAAAAAATATCGTAGTTACGTTTGATGCTCTATATTTAACTGTGTTATATGGAAATAGTTTGTGTAATAAATATGTGGTGTAAAAACGGGTGGGACATTAGATTATTAATATAGTTCAGGGGCGTGAAAAAATACGCGTTTGCGAGCCTAGGGGCCGTCCATAAAGTACGTCACGCTATTTTTGACAATTTTTACCCCCTCCCCCTGTCACAAGCTGTCAAAAATCTCAGGACCCCCACCCCTAAAGTACGTCACACTTTCGAACACATTTAAAAAAAAATAAATCAACACTTAATTGAAATTTAATCTAAAACACACTTCACTATTAAACTGTATTAAAATATAAAATTTCCACTTAATTTCCACTATCACATTATTAAAATGCCTTTAATAGTAGAATAGTTAATTGTCAACAGTTGTCACAGTTATTCATTGAAGCAGTAACTCAATCTAGATTGAATTTGAAAAAAAAAAGTGCAAAAGTTAAACTAGACAGTTATATAATACACATCATTTATCAGCTGCTTTTTCATTTACAATAGGTGAGGTCAAGTTTTAGATAATCTCCCTATTATGCAACTCTATTTACACAGGTTAAGAAGTATATTAGAGAAACTTGACCTCACCAAATGATTAAATAATAAAAAGGACAGTAACAGAATTATGCAGTGGACAACATAGAAATAATAATACTTCAGGAAAGATGAAAGCAAGGCTATACATAAAAAAAGGCTTCGCAACAGCATACTAGTGCTCCTATTGAGAGGAATCGTGAACAACACATTCAGGAGATACGCATTTCATGCTATTTTGACATAAAACTAATTCAAATGATACACAAAATGTTTGAAAATTATTTTTAAAGCGATTAAATTCCACTAAAAAAATAAACAAATAAATTAGAAGTAAAATTTAAAAAATAAATAAATGTGTGACGTCACACATGGCCTGACCCCCCTCCCCCTGTCACAAACTGTCACACTTTCTTACACCCCCTCCCCCCCTCTGGACCGTGACGTACTTTATGGACGGCCCCTAGGTAAAACAAAATATGGGGGGGGGGGTGTGGGGCAGAAATTGGGATTCTTATAAAGTGCGTTACTTGATGCATGTTTTATTACATTTTTAGCCCCACCCCCATTGCTCGATATTAAATTTTATAAAGGATTTATACGAAAACTTTGTGTTTAAGGGTTGTTTAATAACTTTCGAGAACGTGATTATTTAAAAGACATTACCTTAATTCAGGGTCATGCTAGACAGGGCGGATGAAGGGGGATTAGGCCCGGGCCCCAATTCAAAAAAAAAAAAAGGGGGGGGGGCAAAAACGTCATTAGACATGATGCTGCGACATGCATAATTTTTATAAATCATTTTTTAATAAATATAAACAAGGAGGGAAGGGGTGCCAAAACGAAGTCAATGAATTACTAATCATATTCATGATTATGTAGACAAGCACATATGGTTTTATTTAATGATATTAAAGTTAAAACAATATTTTACTCATAATATACACGTATGCAAATTAGTGCCACAACCGACAAGTTAATAAAAAAAATGTTGACACAACTTGCCTTTACACCGTCAAAATAGAAAATAAGAAGTCACGTGATTTAGCATGGCTGACAGCGATGAAGATCGCATCCCCTCCCCTCCAGCAAATGGAACAGATTCTAACGGTCCCAGGATCGTAACCATAACAAAAACTTCGACAGGTTTTGGATTTAACGTCAGAGGCCAAATCAGTGAAGGTGGTGTTCTCAAATCTATAAATGGAGTTTTGTATGCTCCCCTCCAACATGTCAGTGCTGTGCTGGAAGGGGGCGCTGCCCAGAAAGCTGGTATTCGCAAAGGCGATCGTATTCTTGAAGTGTAAGTAACGGCAGCATTGATCACACTTATCAGTAAACGTTTCGTCCAAATCACAACTTACACTACTTACAGGAATAAAAAAGTCTTTTAAAAACATATTCTCTGCTATGCAGTTCAGTCGTCAGTGTAAATATGCAGCTGATCAGTGATCATTGTTGATCATGTGTGTGTGAGTTGAGTGAGAGTGTGACTATCATCTTTTTCTTCTTCTTATATTTGAGGGGCCCACGATCAATTTGTTATCATTCTGGCTCCTGGTTTAAATTCAGAGTTTGCCTTCTCTTAGATGGGTTGCCGTCCAAGGCTAACGAGTCCCATCCACCTGGAGTGCTTGAGATGTTGGCTTTGGTGGGGATTGAACTCCACACCACCAGCTATTTGAAGTATTTGGTTTGATACAGTTTAGACCGCTCGGCCACCCAGCATTTTGGGATCTTTTATCAAACTATATAAAATAGCATGGGCTATGGCCATATAATACATGGCTTTATACATAATAAATTATCAGTATCAATCATGTCCATTTAATCACCTTATAGGGAGTTCACAGACCTGTAGGCAAATGCAAACATATCCAAAAATTATGAGGCTAGGACAATTTAATTGGTGAGAAAATGTGTTAAAATTTATTTTTTGTCATGTGTGTCATTTTGGGATTCCCCTCAATTGTTTAGGGTGAGATTACTCTTGGCAAAGATCCATGCCGCTAACTGCACTTTTACTGAATATCCAGCACATTACCCCAGCTGGTGGTCTGGAGTTCAATCCCCACCAAAGCCAATATCTCAAGCACCCCGGGTGGATAGGACTCATTAGCCTTAGACGGCAACTCATCTAGGAATTCAAACCAGGAGCCAGAATGATCAAGAAATTGATCTGGGGGGCCTCAAATATAATAAGAAGAAGATAACTCATTTCAAAATTTTTAAACTGAATGTTATGATTCTTCAAGCATACACTAAATCTAACATGTAATTTGGTTAGACACACAATTGTTAAGACATCTACATTATACCAGGGGTCTCAAATGTCTATGAGGTCCAGATAAGAACTTTTAAAGTAACCCGATGGCCTCAACATCAGGTTTTTTTGTTTTTTTTTAAATGATAAAAAGTAAATAAACAACATAATAAGAACATAGTGCTGTACAAATTTTATTTAATCATTTATAAAATAATGTGTAATGTGGATGTAATTATCATATTAGTTTTATTTTTTGGTCAGTTTTTGTTCAAATTACTTAGCTGGCAGCATTTTGCACCAACATAGACCTCAATTTTAGGCTTAAATTTATGAGAAGAAACCAATATCAGTGTTGCTTGCAAATGTTCATCATTTAATTATGACCTTAGCACAGACTTTTTAAGCTTCATGGACGAGAAAAATTGTTCAAAAACCATATATGCTTGCTAAAAATTGGAAGAATTCTTGTAGCAGCTGTGAGTAACCTCGGAAACCTCTCCCGTGAAAGGAATGTGTAGAATTCTCGAATCCCCACTTTTGCATATTTTTTGCTTAAAGATACTATCACACTGAAGTACCACCAACTCTATTTGCAATTCCCCTGCAACATTGTCATTGTCCACAGCAAATGGCATTGAAAAAAGTTGAAATATGCAGCCTGAAAGTAATCAAAGTGCTCTTCAAACTGTTGAAGTAAGATAGAAAACAAATCAATATATTCTTCTAAGCTTTTTGGTTAAACTTTTCCTAAGAAATTCAGAGAACGAAATTGGCCCAATTGCCCTCACCCAGCTGCTTCATCCATTAATATAGTTAAACTTTGTGTAAGTTCACTCTGTCAAACATCTATCTGTGTTTTAACCTTTTTTTTTACCTTGAAGCTTCAAGTTCAATGCATTCAAGTGATCCGTAATATCTGTTAAAAAACCTAGGTTGCGTTGAAAAATAGAATCAGTCAGCAAAGGAACTGATTTATTTTTATTTTTCATGAATGAAGCGATTTCATCTCTAAGTGCAAATAACCGCTTTAAAACATATCCACAACTCAGCCATCTAACTTCAGTGTGATAAAGAAGTGCGCCATACTCAGAATCCATACTTGAATGAAATGATGTGCACTGCCTGTGATTCAGCCCCTCAGAACTTTATAGACTTTAACTACAAAGGATTTATTGTTGCAAAATACAATGTATACTTGTGAAGTTGATTACTATTGTTTCAAGGCTGTTAAGTTTGTTTTTAAACCAATCAAAATACGTTTTGAGAACACATTGACTGGGCACTGTCTGGCCAAAATACAAGTTTATCCCATGGCAAGTCATATATCTCAATGCATTTTTCCAGGGCTTGACATATGTCAGGTCTAGTTGTAGTACCCATTAGTGATCTTAAATCTAGGGATTCTGCCAGATGTAAACTGAAGTCTTCACTTGAGTCTACATATCTGATAAACACAGTACATTGTGAGGAATCTGACACCTGTTCTCCCGTCAAGCAAATAAAAATGCTTGAAAGTCCTTAGCCCTTTCAATTAGTTGTTTCTCCACATTAACTGCTAAATCTGTAATGCTGTTGGCAGTTGTATTGGGTGACAAGCTTATCCCTTAAAACATTTTATCTTTACCAGGACTTAAAATGTATTTGCCTTTTAAAGACATTCTTTTAAAAACAAACCCTCTGCACCCTCTGCAAAGGGCATTGATGACTTTTCAATTATTTCACTTATAGCAAAACTTGCTCTTTCTGAGTCTTCGCTGCCCTTACTAACATTGGTAAATAAGTTTTCTTGTTTGCATAATAGTGATTCAATAGTGATTATACTCCTTCAGAACAGTTATTGTTGTTGAAAAACGAAACATTGAATTTTATCACTGAACTCGTCTACGAGTTTTTTCTTCTCAAAAAAGAAAACATATAAAAGGCTTTAATTTTTATATAAAAATGCATAAATGCAACTTTATAATTCATCAACTGGATCACTTTACTAAAAAGCGGAACCAGAAGTCTGCATTGAGCACGACAATTAATAAAAAGATTACGAAATAATAAGTAAGTCAGAATATCTTATGTTTAAAATGGCACTTACATTTAAAATAAAATGAGTAAAACAGAGTAGGGCTAAACCTGAAAAAATAAACACAACAAAACAGCTAACGTGTTGTATGCTCCAATCGATTGTGATCTTGACAAGTGGAATGAAATTAGTGATACTGCAGCGTGCATGTCTAGGTATTATGTCAGCTATTGTTCCTCTGTACTGGGGATAGTCTTAATCTTTAAGGCAGTGAGGCAGTACTTAATGAATTGCATTTGAGCTGATATTTTTCTCAGGTCCTTTTACATGCAAAGGAAAAGGGAAATTAAAGTGCTTTAGAATTTCATTAATTCATTTTTTACCATCTGTTGTGAACCACCCCAATATATAATATATATATGATTTATTTTGGATTTGTTAAGTTTTAGAAATTGATTTCAAAGCAAATGTTTCTTTGTTGATGTTTGAAATTTAAAAAAAAAAATTCTAACTGGACATGAAATTGCAAAGCACAATATTTAAAGTTTAGAAGAAAGACTCACTTTCTTTATATCAATTCTAACAGAAATGGTGTAAATGTTGAAGGAGCTACCCACAAACAGGTTGTGGATTACATTCGTTCTGGTGGAGATTCCCTCACACTCACAGGTGAGGTTTGCTCAGCTCTTACTTTTGAACATTTGTCTAATGTCTTTACTTATTACATTTATTTAAACAATGACTCCAAGCTAGTGCTAAACATATTGTAGGGTAGTTTGACCCTTCTAAAAGCATTATCTTTTGTCATGAGCTTAATCAATATTGATCTGAAAATCCTCTCTCTGGCTCTCCTCTGCTACATTTAGTTTGTTTAGTCTTCAGATTTTATGTCGACTACTTGTCTATGACATCAGCAGATGTATAGCAACATATGTAGAACAAGTCTTCCTCAGATATTTTTTTTTATATTCATTATACGATACAAAGATACAATGACAGATCAATATTGAATCTTATTTATCCTGTCTTTTTTTTCCTACACATGTAACATATTTATTCAATAATTTTTTTAAATCTACTTCTTTGTCACCAGTTATTGATTAGTGGCAAACCATACTATCTCTTTCTGTTTATCTTCCCTATTCAGATATGAAAATTATTATTCTTTTACGTTTTACAAGCTCATGGCATGAGAGCTTGCAAGATTATATAAGTTTTTAAAATATGGAAAATTAAACGAATAAATAGATCCTTCCAGCTAAGAAATAATAATTTTATTTTGTGTCCCCTCGTATAAAAATGTTTGCTAGCTTTTCTCACTCCTTGAAAACCCCTATTTTTAATTAAAAAATTGGACCTTTCTAATGCAGAGTTGATTCAATAACATTTCTGGTCAATAACAACATATTATAAATATCCCTCTTTCAAAACAAGTGTCTGTTAAATAATGTTTAATATGATTAAAATAGAAAATAAGATATTACTGAAAAGTGAATACAAAAATGTTTGCAGCTGAATTCCCTTATTACCAAAGAAGCTTGCATTACATCAATTTGAGAAAAAATTCCAATGAATTCCTGTAGTATATTTTGGCTATATCCTTAATCTTGTGCTCTGATTTTTTTTGGCAAGGTTTGTAAATGTTTATACTTTGTCAAAATTTTTGATGTTTCAATTATTTAATCAAGATAGGAGTTTAAAGGAGTAATGGAAACAACTGAAAGTTGTTGATCAACATGACTAAATAGTCACCTGTGTTCTTAATTTTTTTCCTCACTTAGTCATCTCAGTGCCTGAGCAGGTGGCTGAGAAACTTGAACCAAGTGATGATTCCTCGGGTCCCTCATATATCGATTATTCAGAACGACGGTCGCTGCCCATATCAATACCTGACTGCAATTATTTGGACCATTATGGTGATAAGCATGTAGTAAGTTTTAAATGCCTCGTTTTGTTTATTTTGACATGGATGTTGTGAAAAAGAATAATCACCCTAAAAAGGTGATAACTTTATTTTTTGTGGTGAAGTCAGTTTTAATAGCGTAATGAATTATTTGGTGCCGACGAATTAAAGCTAAAACATTTTAGCTGCTTTTCCCCTTATCAATGGACAATGGTGTGATTTGCCAGAAGGATGAGTCTGTGTTAATAGGAGTCACAATTTTATTTTTTATTAATGCCTCAGTATTTGTGTATAGTAAGTAACAACTGCGGAATACATTAAAATATATTTACCTATTTTTAATTCAATGATATACATACTAATGGCATGTCCTCTAAAGTTTTAATATAGATTCCAACATATTGTAGATTAAGCAATGTTAATAAAAAAGAAGCATGAGCATTTAAGATTTTGAAAACTACTTCTTTACTTTTAGGTTTTTAATGTTTACATGGCTGGCAGGCATTTGTGTTCCCGGCGTTACAGAGAATTCGACACTTTACACAACAACTTAAAAAGAGAGTTCCCAGACTTTAACTTCCCCAGATTGCCAGGGAAAAAATTATTCACCTTATCAGAACAACAGCTAGACCAGAGAAGGCGAGGCTTGGAACAATATCTTGAGAAAGGTGTAGTGGCCGCATTTTAAAATTATTCATTATGTTAGTAGAAGACATTGAAAATGTTTTAAAAATGGTGATGCAAATTGTTTTAAAAATGGTGAATTATGTATTCATTGTTAAAAACACACTTGTTCTTGATGAGTTACCCATATAAATGCTCCTCATAAAAATAATTAAAAACTAGCAATTTGAAGGGAAAAGCAAGTAAATTCCAGAATTATGACACTTTGTATTTTTGTAGAGTTATCCAATTTAGGATTTTTAAAAGGGAATAATGTCCCCCCGTCCTTGTCTTGTTGAGCTGAATTAGAATCTAATGTCTTATTTACACTGGAGACACTTTTTTACTTGTTATCTTTGCTGAGCAGCATCAGCAAGTGACTGTTTTATAGACTCCCTTCGGGGGCCACTCAATAGTTTACTTATTATATTATTTTTTCTCTCTCATCCTTTCAGTGTGTGCTGTAAGAGTGATTGGAGAGAGTGAAACAATGCAGGAATTTTTAGCTGCTGGAGATTTAGATGAGGTATGGGTAGGTTGCCTTCTTATACTGAAAAAGTATATTTAGAAAGGAGTTTAAGAAAAAAAAGTCATCATTGATGTAGCTGTAACATTTAAATAGCATGTGATATTAAAGATATTTTATGAATATGCTTAAAGTATAACTATGTCTTTTATAACCTTACCAGGAGGAGGGTACCAGTGAGGTGGAATTAAAAGTTATGTTACCAGATAAAAGTTTGTGCATTGTAACTATATGCAGGTCAGATAACACAGACACAGTATACAAGGTAGTTTTTAATTTTTGAAATCTTAAGCCTTAAAAATAACATTTCAAAATAAGTGTTAGTTGTTTGTTTTTTTTACACAATGGGTTATCAAATAAAATTAATGCAATATTTCAGTCAAGATGTACTAAATGTGTAAATCTTTTAATAAATCTTTTAAATTTTTAAGGCTGTTGTAGCAAAACTTCACTTTGAAGAAGCTTCAGATTACTTTTATTTGTTTGAAACTGTGGAGTATGGCTTTGGTAAGTGTGTTAACACAGTGCATTTAAAAGTAATTTTGTAAAATATGCCTTGTTATAATTCTCTATTATTTAAACTTTGAAAAAAAAATGTTATTGATTGCAAGTGATTGCAAGTTATAATCAGATTTAATCCAATAATTACCTTTGCGCTTCATTAGATTAGACACTAATTGTTTTGTTCAAATATTTGAAAACATTTGTTACTGATTGTAATGTTTGAGATCAAGATACATTCATAACAAGCACTGTCAAACGTTTTCTATGTTCTTAACAAGCTTGGTCCATTGTTTCCTACATTCTTAACAAGGACTGTCAATATATTTTTTTACATTCTTAACACCACTGTCAATATTATTTTTAAATTCATAACAAGTACTGTCAGTTTGTTTTCTACATTGTTAACAAGCATTTTGTTTTTTGTTTTCAGAGCGTAAGCTACTGCCACAGGAACTTCCTCACAACATTTATATCCAGAACTACAGTACAGCAACAGCTACATGTATCTTGCTCAAAAAATGGCTTTTCACTATATCCAGGGAAATGACACTCACAACTAATGCCTCTGCTTTGAAATTTCTGTTTTGGCAGGTAATTCAAAAGCCTAGCCCTTCTTCAATGTAGGTGAAGGGTTATATTTAAACTGGATTAGGCATAATTTGCTATTGGAAAACCTTAAAAAAGTATTGGTTTTCCTGATTTTCCACAGATTTATAATTTATTTTGGTATTTTGCTGTTTGACCTTTGTTTACAATAAATGTTTCTTAATTAGTCAAATAATTTTTTAATTTATATAATTTTATATTTAGAATTAGAAAATACCTTCTATAGTTTTAATGATATGCAGTTATCCTCTATTGCCTAATACTCATTATTACACAGATTTGATACATTGTCATATGCCATACATAGCACTCATGTTTATATGATACAGAGGATCTCTGCATAACAACCTAATACATTCTGGAACAGCATTCATTGCCCTGGGAGTTTATTATGTTGATCATGATTTCCCATTATAAAAATTTTAATTTGTTATTGACGTAAAAAAGAAAGAAACAAAAATGGTTGAAACAGTTTTAAAAATGTTTTTAAAAAAAATGCAAGAAACACTGATAAATAATTGCCCTGTTGGGGAGTCAAATGAGGGACAAGGACTAGGATGATGAGAGTTTTGCACATTTTTATTTACACTTTGTACTTTTTATGTTATCTTGACTTCTTTAGCCAGAGGAGTCATCAGACCACTTGACAATCCAAAAGAAATAAAAACCTAACCACAACGTAAAATAGTTCGCTCACTTATCTAAACAACTGTGAACAAAATTTAACACACACAACATAAACATACCAACAAGTATGCAAACACACAACCACACACAAAAAACCAGACAAAAAACACATAAGAATGCCACTGTCTCCTGTTCCCCATTCAGAATTGCTCGGGGTGATGCCATTTGTATGCTCGCGTGTTTATATTTGTCTATTTTTTCCACACGGGAGAATGCTGATATGGTTTATAATGCGAGTTGAATTTTACTATGCGAGTCATTTTTGGGCGAACTCCCATGTTCATTATGCGGGGACACACTGTGTTTTTGAAACATAACTAATTTATAAACTTAAAATGTTTCTGTACTATTTTGCTTTATTATGTTCCAGGCAGTTGATGATGTTAATAAAGGCTTTGTCAAGACAGGGGACAAACTGTACGATCTTAAGGCTCTCAGAGAGACAGAGAATGCTTTAGAGGTGAGACCTCCTGTAACATTGCTCTAGAAATAGAAAAATAAATAGTTAAGTTTATAATATTACAATTGTCCATTTATTTGTAAGACAATTATTGATTGCTGCTGAATACAGGACATTTTAAAATTCTTCCATAAGACAGTTATTATCATTCATAGAATGAAGTGGGAAGTTATTAAACATTGTTTTCCCCCAGATTTTCACTCACAATGACACTAAAAATCAGCCGTACAACTTACAAACACCCTCCCCCTCTCTCTACATTTTTTTTCATGAAATTTTTCAAGTATTGGAGGATAGGGAATTTAAAAATACTATTTTTAAAATAATGGTCATTAGCTTTGCTTTGACAATGAAAATTTTAACCTCCAATAAAATTTCAAAATTCATATTGTTTATGTAACATCAGATTGTCCGAATAGATCTGTAAAATGTCTCGGGTCTGTCATTTGAGGAATAAAAACCAGAAAAGACAATATTTAAAGGGCTACTTAAATATGAAATTGTTTACTTTGAAGTATTTGAAGACAGTGCGGCATCTTGAAGGCTACTCAGAGGTGGTATTTCCCCACTGTGCATGCGACTCCAGGCGGGATGGACATGTTGCTGCTATTATTGGGCTTGAGGCCTTCAAACTTCAGGCTTGTAAAGATGATGGAACCCCTGAGGTGATTTCTTTAAAAAAATCTTAGGTGCTCTGTTACATTTAATTTAGCTGCTACCACCAATACTTTTACAATCGCTAACTGTCCTTTGCCCAGTGTTAGAGCTTAATATTGGGGGAAAAAATATTGATTTTGTTTGCTTTGCTCAATATTGGGAAAAGCTGCAATATGTTACAATTTGATGTTGCTGAACCCAAATAAATATAAATTTAAAAAGTGGATTAAAAAAATTAAAAATTTCATGTTTGTGATTTAAAAAAATTAACATAGGATTCTTAGTCCAGTTCTTCAATATTTTAAAATCACACAATGGCTAATATTAGAAAAGCCAGGTCGAAAACTAAACTTATAAAAACATATAAGTGCAACAAAACTTTTGTAGGTAGTTTCTTTTTCATTAACTTCATGGTGTTTGATTTACCTAGAATTGTTTTTTGTCTGTTTTTTTTCAAGTAAATATTTTTATATTTTCAACACTTCCTTTTGGTTCATATTTTAAGTTTTCCAAACATTATTATTTCAGTCTCAGGTGATTGAATTCAATTGGAAAGATGTCAAATCTTATGAGGTGGATGAGGAGGGAATGTCTTTCAACTTTGAATATAACAGACAAGGAAAGAAACCCAGACTAGTCAAGATTTTCACTCCTTATGTAAGATTTATTGATTTTTGTATTTGACAAGCTTGGCATTTCTTTTGTTTTTCTCCCTTTAAATTCTAAGTATGTTTCACAAATACAAATAAAAATGATAATCACTGCAAAGATAATGAGCTATCAGTTAGGATTTACCGAAGCAGCCAACAACTTTGTGAAGAAATTTGTTAAATGTGAAGACCTCTCAAGAAATCTTTTAATTTTTGTTTTCTTTTGCTATTTGAATTGTTTTTTGTTGCAGTGTGCATTGTTGTAGGTTTGGCATCCAGCTGTTGGTGAGGCTTTGATAGATGTTAATCCCTGCAATCCACCGAGGCTCTAAGTTGTCAGCTAATGATGTTGTTTCATATTTCAGTTTTACTACATGAATGACTGCTTTGATAGAATATATGATGAGCTGCAATGGGACACGTAATCTTTTACTTTAGATTTGGTTGGCAACCTTTTCCCCATCATCACAATCTTCACCTCTGCAACAACCACTGCCGACTCAAAGAGTATGAAACTGGAATCTGGTGGTGATTTTAAACTATGTATACCTTAGTTGTTTTAAACAACCTTAGAAATATGCACTTTATGTTCTCCTTATTTAATTGCTTTATCTTGAACTTAAAGTTTAAAAAAAGAAAATCACCCACATTGTTATTTTAAGGCTTTGTTTGTTATGTTACAGATGACAAATGTAAAATGTTATTGTAGAAAACTTATGATTGACTATGTTCATATAAAATTACTTGTCTGAAAACTGTTGTTTCTTTTTTTTTTTTTTAACAAATAAAAAAACAAAAAAAACTGCCCTTTGGGGGGCAACCCCCCCCCCCCCCCCCTTTCCCCCGTTGTATCCTATAGTCTGTTTCAACATTACACAGCAAATTAAATAATATTCAACTATACTACCCTGTTAGAATCCACAGTTATTTTAATGTATATATAATAAGGAGCATACCCTGTAACCGATATCAGCTTTCTGTGATCTATATTTCCTAAAATAAAACTGCACTTAAAATTCATTGGTACATTTGTCCACCTGTTATTTGTTCCCTTCTGCTCTTATTACCTATGCCTTTTTTGTTCTTATTCTCCTATACAATAGGGAGAAAAATATCACAGAAATGGCTTAAGAAGTTTTCAACTCCTCACACCCTCCCTTTTTCAAATCCAGCTGTGTACCCAACATATACTTGTAAAATTAATCATGGCCATAAGAACAGAGTATTTGTTACTCTGTCAAGTACAGGGTAGAAATAAGTATATGTTCTGGGAAAGTGGTAACAAATAAATCCAAGGGTTGAAACTGTGATGACACCACAAGAGAGGTAAATAAAACTTCCATCAATAAAGAACACGTTTTTTCTTCTTTTTTTTATTTTAACAAGTTAAAGTATAATGGGGATGAACATATCAGCTTCTTCGTCTGGCAATGCGGGTTTAAAATTATCATAGTCAGATCCATGTACTCAAGATTCTTTTGTGTGGTCAGTCCACTGTAAGTGAATCTAGGGAGCTGTGGGTAATTGTTGTCGTGGTGCATGTCAAGGTGACCCAGAGCTTGTGCTGTCATCAATATTCTGAATATTTTTTTTTAATGCTGTTATAGAAGTGTGTCAGTGCTGAATGCTTAACTTATGTGTGCAGATATTGTTATGGATTGATGGCTTGATGTAATGAAAGCTGGTGATGAATTTTTGTTTGCTTTGTGAAAGGTGTTACAGTTTTCAATTGTTTTGCCATTAAAGACTATGATAATTAAAGATGCAATGCACATATTAATCAAGAATTTTTTGTGTATAGCTCCACTCTGTTAGCGATCCCTCTCCCAAAAAATGTATAATTTCCCATCACTACTGAAACAGCATTGAAATAATCAGGAGTGTTAACTTTGTAAACCTAGTTTTAATTACACTTACTATAAAATTTGTCAAACCTGTGGCTATGAAGTAGTTATTTCATATTATGAACTTGAAGGTATCTACAAATTCTACCATAAGTGATAACAGAACAGTAGTTACTTGAAAGGCTGTATATACATTCAGAGCAATGTTATTTTAATGATTAAGGATACATTCTTTTTTTAATTGTCACGAATCTAATTTTTTGGAAGTATAATTTGAATTCCAGTGTTTAATTCTCAAGGTTTTAATCAATAATTAGAGTCAAGCCATAAAGGTGTTTGGATGCTTGAAATGAGAAACAACAAATGTATCAGCTAACGGCATTCACCGTCGCTCACAAAATAATACCTGTATAAAATAAAAATAAACTTAGCTTTTAGCAAAGGGAAATCCTGTAGCACCATGTTAGAGAAATAAGGAACGGAATGAAAGTCAGGTGATACAGATTTTAGCATCAGAAGTGCACACTGGTTGGATGTAAAAAAGAAAGGCGGAAGACATTATCTTTCCTACATAGGGTCTGGAGTCATATACCATGATTCTTATTCTTAAAAGATGTTGAAATCCATCAGCACTGTTTTACAAATATATTATGTTTGAATGATGTGAAAATGGCAGTGAATTGAAAACACACTGATTATTCTTTTCTAAATGATATATTCAATAATTGAAAAGTACTAAATTAAATTTCATACCTTGGAATCACTCTGTAGGTTTCTCTAAACATCACAGCCATGGACCATGGAAGCCCAAATATTAACAAATCTACTGGAAAAGATTTAATCTTGGAAGGCTCTTCTGATTCCTCCAAGTTATTATAATTGTATGAACAAATTTCTATACCTGTTATTTTTTATATGTATAATGGACTCTGTTGTTAAAGCTGATAGTGAAATACTCAGAAAAATTACCATTGTTTTCTTGTGCACCTGTTGACATTTTAGCAAATCAGACCACAAATCATCCTCAAAAATAATTTTTTGAACTTCAAAATTAAGAAGTTATTTTCATGAAATTTTAATGGATTTCATTGAACTAATGAACTAAAGGAGCAAAAGTTAAAATAGACTTACGCAGTTGGCAATTAAAAAGCTATTTAAATATAAAAACGTTGATCTTGATGAATGATTACCAAATGTATAAAATGTTATTTGGAATAATAGTTGAGACTGGAAATGCTGAGTTGCAGATACTTATTCCTACTTAAATTTATTAATTGTTAATTGAATCTGTGATCTTTATTTTTTTTTTTTAGAAAAGAAAAAGTTGATTACACTGATTTTCTCAAATTTCTTTGACTCCTGGAAAAATATAGTTAACATTGTTTCATAAGAGTCACTGTCTTTCTGAAAACTCTTTATACAATAATTAAGCAAGACACAAAACGCTTGTAGAGCATGTGAGATCACACGACCATTTAGAAATTAATTTTATAAATCATGTTTTAAGCCTGTTTAAAATATTATATTAAGGTAAATTATTTTCCATTCTTGTAAAAGTTACAAAAATATGTTGACTAAAAATGTAGAAGTTAAAAAAAAAGTGTCAAATATTTATTACAAGTATTAATGATTAATGGTGTTCTTATGTTGTTGGGAGTCATGAGGCCCAGGAAATCTCTGTTCAGCCAGAGGGGAGGTTATATATAATTGTTAAACAGTTCATTAATATTCTAATTTTTCTGTTCCATCAGAACTTCATAGTCCAAGTAAGCCTGTACAATATGTTAATTTTACTATTTTAATATGATTTCCATTGTTAAAAATGTATATTGTGAATAAGATACTTTTGCTTGACCCATATTGTATAATAAATGTGTAAATACAGGTCTAGTAACTAGTTATCTAGTTTCAAAAAACCCCTACCAAAAATAGATTTTACAGCCAACTCCAGATGCCTTGAAAAGTAAAGTTGGTTGTTGAACTTGTTGTAAGGCTGCACAGTTGTACATTTAGATACTTTGGTCATACACATTTCTGTGACTCTGGTCTGGTTTTATAGTGAGAGAAAAAAAAGAAGTAACATCTGTATGTGATTATTCATGTTATTTTCCCATCAGAGTTGAAAAAAAAAAAGAGCTATAGTCCAAGTTTTCAGCCTTGATCGTAACAGGCAGACTGTTACTTCTTTGGCATCAGTTTTTGTCTGTGCTATCCGAATGTTACATACCTTTATCAATGCAAGGAAGTCAGAAATATATATGTTTGCTTTAGAATGTAGGGCTATTGTGATAGTACCCAGCATTGCTCAAAAATAAATTATAGCAAGCTTTGTATTACATTACTTTTCTTATATTTTTTGTTGTCTAAAAATATATAATTATGCCTGTGTTCTGAGTTCCCACTGTTGTAAATTATAGTAAAACTGTAAGCAGTTGATTAAAATAAAGAATTATAATTATTGTGTTTGTTTCTCACCATTTGTTAATTTTATCTTCTGTACAATTTTGTTTTCTAAATTTCTTGTAATGGTGATGAAAACTTTTTGATATTTTTAAGGGGGTTCATTTCTTTTCCTTTGCTTTTAACTGCTTAACATTGAAGAAGTTAGGTCCAATTCTAAATTTTTAGCTGATTCTTTTAAAATGCAAATTAAAACAAATCATCTTGAATCCATTTACAAAAAGTTTGTTACCATTCACTTCTCACATAAATTAAGATCACATGTTATTTGTTGAAAATAAAAATTTCAAATATGTTTGCCATGTTTCTGAACAGTTTAGCGAGCTTATTTTTACAAATGTTTGTCAAATATTTTTTTTTAAAACCTTAATGTGAGTTTTTTCCCATTTAAAAATCTTCCTACCCCCTGCTCTGTTAATCAGTTGTCATTTGCATACTTATTTAGATCACAATCATATTTACAGAGGCGTTGATTCTTTTTAAGGGTGGTCACAGATATGTTCCTGAACTATTCAATAATTGTAACCAATGAATAGCTGCATGGGGTTTTTCTTGGTAAGAATTTTAAAAGATGTCTATTGCACCAAATATCATTTTAATTATCTTACCTCAGATTTTTAGATTTTTAATGAAAAAAAACAACCAACGTCTATGTTCTCAATCTGTGCTTTGCAGGGGCCCTAAAGGTTCTGTGTGCTTTTCTCCAGGGCTTAGAGGCCCACTCCTAAACACTATTAACTTGTAAGACTTAGGGCAGGCCCCATGGAAATTGATTTAATTAGGGCTCCGTGAGTCAAAAAGACTGGTAACCACTGGTCTAAAGGTGGTGATCTTATCAATCGAATTAAAAATTGAATTAGAAACAAAACAAAAAAAATTTCCAATGTGGTCTGTAGTTTAATGTCAGATATGTTGAACTAACAAAACAACAGATTGTTTTTTCTGTGGTTTAAAAATACTATGAATGTTTTTAAAAGCTCCTCCTGTTTCTTCAGTAAGTTTTTATTTTTTATTTTCAAGTGTTGTATATAAATATAATAAATAATAGTCATTTTTATCTGTAATTACTCATTCTTTAATCTAAATTAAAAAAAGAAAACAATATTTACATGCTTTGAGCACTCAGCTGATCAAAAACTTAAAATACTCAGATGTCTTTATTTTATTTTTATAAAATAAACTCATTCTTTAAAAAAAAAATGTGCTCTCTAAACTAACTTGCATTGCTGTGTCATCATGTAGTCCTTAGAAAATGAGAAGGGCCATCTCCAGATGTGTGAATAATGCATATAGGTATATGAAAATTGTAAGGAAAAGTGCATCGATTTAATGAGTTAATGAAGGCAACAATTTTATCAACAAAAATGTAAAGAATAAATTAATTCAATAAATATTCCTCCCACAAAATCAGGGATGAAAGAAAAATTGACTTTAGGCAATTATGATTCTGTCTCAAGATTGTTTTTATACAAAGGTTTATAAATGCAAATTGCATTTTCACAATATAAAATAATCATTTTTATCATACTTTCAATTTCTTTTTTTTTTGTCCCCTCCTACAAATGGATGTTGTCCCTGGACAAGAAACATTATAGTCATGAGTTTATGCTTTTGTCATGAGCTTTTTTACATGAATATTCTTTTCCCTTTCACTACTTTCATTATGTCAGTCAAATATTTATTATCTATGAATAAAGCAATGATGCATCATTTGTCTTTAAATAAGGATAAATAGAAACTCTTAAACTGTGTTGGTCCATACTCTTAATACTTAAAAAAAAAAAAATAATATAAGTTATACAGTTTGGTAAATTTTGTTAAAAGTTGGCATTTCCATGTCAATTTTGCAACACTAATGTAGATATTATTGATCTTTCAATAGTAAGTGCAGAAGTTTTTCGTACATTTTCTCTGAAATGATATAATTTTATAATCAGGTATTCTGTTCTATTTGGGACATTTTATAGTTTTTCTAAATAAGTTTTGCGTTTCGAATAAAGAAGAAATATATGCCATGGATTTTTCCAAACATATTTGCATTTAGAATTTCAACAAAATATAGGTGATGGATTTTTTAATAATTCAGATCTCAACAAGAAAGAGCATTTGTATTTACTTAAAAAAAAATCTTTATAGTTGGTATAGTTGTTAAATAACTGTAACATTAAGTATTGGAATTTGTGGACAATTACATCTTCTCAGATGTTTCCAAGACAGTTTTGTTTGCACATCAGATGGAGGTAGATTTTAAGGATTAGAGGAGAAACATTTTGGCATGGGCTTCAAAGATCATCTAATTAAAATTTTGTTTTGATATTTGTTGTAATATCAGGTTTGGATAGGGTAATTTGTCAGTGAAATTCTTCACCAATTAAAAAAAATTAAGCAGACTTTCCCATCTATCATATCACAATACTGCATGATTAAAAATTGATTTAAAAAAAAAAATTGTGATAACTAATTTTAGTCTTACTTTACTCTCACTTATTGAAGCTCAGCAAATTGATAATGACAATGCAAATGTGAACACTTTTCATTATATTTTTTCTAACATTAGCTAATAGCACATGAAATAGTAAATTCCATTAAACTTCTAATTACGTACTGGAACTGCACAAAATACACAAATACCTTATTAATTAATTCTTTGTCAGCACCTCTTTCTTTTTAAGGTTTTTCTAGTACCAGTAAATTTTTCAATTGTCTTTATTTTTCACATTTATCTATCTTTTGTCATTGTTGAGATTTCATGTAATATTTTTCTTATTATTATTTTTATTATTTTTAGTTTTGAGACTTCAATGTTGCTCTGTGCATATTTCTTACCACCTTCACTTCTCAAAACTAATTTGATATTTTTTAATTTGATGCCGTTTTCACTAGCAGAAAGCAACATGCCTTTCAGTGTCAGTGGGGAAAATAAAATAAAAGTTGCCAACAATCTTTGAAATGATTTTAAAACACCAAGAGATGTATACTGAACTTATATTTCTGTGTCCAGAGTGATAAAGTTGTATAAATTTTGACCTCTTCTAATAATTAAATTTAAAGAAATGCCTATTAAATTTCATATTAATTTTGTTGTTGTCTGAACAAAAATTTGCTGTAATTTCTAGTTGAGATGTATTGTTATAAATAAGATGATTAAAGTTATGTCTATTTATCAAATGAGATTAACAAGTTCATAATAAATTCATGCATTTGAAAATAAATCTTATTATTAGTGTGTTGCTAGTTAATTTTGGAAGTCCAAATTTAGTTAGCCTTTCAATAGGAAGTAAAGTGTAAAAAAAATTAATGTGGTCCATTTAGGATTAATGTATTGTTCTGAGTATAGGCAGCTCCTGATTATATGCTCCACCCTTAACGCTCATTGCTATTTTTATAAAAAATAAATGTTTTAATAATTTTTGCGAAATCCTGATTGTAGGTTGTGTCTTTAGTTTAATTAAAAACTTACATTAGGGGGAAAATGAGACCTATGCTATTTGTTTCTTAAAACAATTTAACTTTTGGTCCATTGGCGGTGCTTGCAATACGTGAAAAAATATATTGTCATTTTATTGTGGAGGGGCTAGCTAGTGGATATGTAGAAGAAACATTAATTTCTTAGATGTCGTAATGCTGATGATTCCCAAATTATTACATTTAATGAACCCATTAAAAAAAAAAGCAGATGTTGAGATATAAATGTTTATTATATATAGATGTCATATGTACACAAACGATGAAGATGTGGAAAGCATACAAATTTATAACCTCACTCTGCTAGTGTACAAATGTAATCAAATCTGCTGAAATAGAGAGCGAGATACAGAAAGATGAAAGAGACAAATGAAAACCCCAGCAATTTATAGACTAAATCTGTGTATAACAAAAAAATAATCATCAACGTGGCCATTGGGGCATGCACAATTCAACCTGGCACTCTAGTTTTTAGTCTGCAGATGGGTTATTATGTAATCTGGTGTTTTGTTAACAAGAAAAATAAACATGCAGCTGCCAAAAAAAAAATGATGAACATGTCAACTTATAACGGTACTGGAATATCATTGGTTTACTAATAGCTTTTCGAAATATTCTAAATTGGAATCTGTTATTTTTAAAAGAGGCAGGAAATACGATCTCAGCATATGAATGGATTAAAAATATTTATAAATACAAAGCCAGAAACAAATTATGTGGTGAAAATCATTTCTGTATATGTTTTAAAAAACAAAATCTACCTCTAACTCTTTTGAAAATAAGACATTAAATTAGGCTGAGGAAATTTTAACAGGAGCAAGATTCATCGCTTGAAATATACAAAGGTCAAATACAATGCTTTTGTAACTGCTTTAAATAATGCCTTAAGCAATGTATACATTTAATATTAAATTTTCTAGCTAAAAATCAAGTTCAATGAAATATTTACAAAAGTATATATATATATATATATATTAAAAGTATATTTCTTTATTACATGTAACAAATTTTAATGTAAGCTTCTTTTGTTAGTAATGAAAGAGGGAACATTTTAAGATATACCAGATATTTCATAAAACTATTATGAGAAATTTGTCGGACAATACAACAAAAATAAGCAAGCTCCCCACAAGCTTATTTATTAATATTATTTGTTATAAAAAGGAAACGAGCAAAAGTTGTGGTAGCAATGTGAAGGCACAAGTCTAGTTCATAAACTCAAAGTCATATAGTTTTAGGCACAGTATTTGTTTTTGGTTTAAGTTTAAAAAAAATGTTATCACATGGGAAAAATTTGGTTAAATATATTTAAACAGAGTCAATTGTTAACATGAAAATACTCTGTAAACTTTAGGATAGGAAAAAAAAAAAGACACAAAATATAAAGATCAATTCAAATGTTTAATTAATTTTAAAACACAGCCTATTTTTTTCTCTTTCCAACGAAAAAGACTAAATCACATAACATTTTTCATAACAGAATCTTTTCAAAAAGTAAAAATTTTAAAATCTAAACATAAAAAAAAAAAAAAAAAAAAGAAAAAAGAAAAATAATTAGTAATTCTAATGGATATTCAACATTTATAAATAAAAATATTATTCATATATATAGAATTTGAATATGAAGGAGAATAAATAAGTAACAATTGTTTAGGTATGCTTATAATTTCTGTTTTTCTTTTAATAGCTATTGAAGGTGACTTTTAAAAAAATGGTAAGTTTGTCAGACCTATTGCATTAAATAGATAATTTAAACCAGGGGTAGACAACCTGTGGCCCGTATGCCACATGGGGCCCACTGAAATGTTTAATATGACCTGCAAGAAATGAATTAATGATTACGTAACATGTACATGTTATGATTAACTGTAAAAGCCTTTTAAAATTAATAATCACAGTGTAAAATTGCCAAACTAATAGTAATAATAATAACAGAATTACATTTTTTTAAAATTCCACTGCTTATTAGCAATCTGAACTTGGATGAAATTGTTGAAGCCAATATTTAATGACATAAAAAAAAAAAAATGTCAAGCAACCCCACAAAAAAAAAAAAAAAAAAAAAAAGAAAAAAAAAGATTTCCATACCGCCCTCTGCATAAAAAGATTGCCCACCCCTAATTTTAACTAATAATTATTATTATTTGTGAAGTAGTAAGTTCACCACTCATTACTTTTATCATCTATTTGTGCTCATTTCAAGAACTGAAGTGTAACCTCGCATCAATCTCTTTTTTAAAATTAAAAAATATTAATGAATAAAGACTACAGATTAAATAATACTAATAAATTCTATAAACACAAAAATATTCCACTCAAATATAAAAACTTTTTTAGTGCATTTTTTATTTGTACAGGGGCGGTGCTAATGACAAAGCCAAAATGACAATGCAACTATTCACCTGCTCATCAAACAAGCATAATACTACCAAACCATATTCAAGAAAATATTTAATTTTACTAAAAAGTGAGCTCTCCAAAGTCAGTTTATACATATGGGACAGAGGTATGTAATTTTACATTTCTTTTAATAAATTATGATGTATAGCATTAGAAAACTCATTGTACTGCGGTTATATAAGAAAATACAAAAGTCATTAACACGTGAGTATAATAGTTAACCCATTTTGTTTCCCTCACAGACAAATGGGCTTTCAAATTGTACTTCCATCCAATTTCTTTCTGTTCTTCTGAGCTTTGTTTTTTTTAGGGACTTATGCCCATTCTTATTATTTTCTTTTTAGCTATAGGTAGGATATATATATATTTTTTTTTCTTCTCAATTTCCCAATTAAAACGACCTTAAATAATTTAGTACTTTTCATATGCTAACAGCAAAGTAAATAATTACAAAAGTAAGTATAATGAAAAAATGTCTTATATAAACCAGTACTCAAATATTGAATTAGATAACAGTGAATACAATCACCCACAACTTTTGGAAACAACTTGTACGCACTATGAATTATATAATTTTAGATTTTTTTCACAGAGCTGTGAATTTATAGTAGAAAACTTCCCCAAATTTAAAATAAAGGACACAATTACTAAAACTTAAAAATGACCTTGAACACACCTGGTCGGAATTTTCAAAGTAGTAAATTCACTAAAACACCAGCCAGGTTTCAAATTATCAAAGTTTTGTTAACAAAAACATCTATTTTTTGTTTTGTTTTAAATTTCAGCTCCACCAAAAATGACTAGCAAAGAGGACACACAATGAGAAGCAAAATGTCAACAACATTGAAATGATTCCAATGAAATCCTGGTTTAATACTTGACTACATCCTATTCAGTCAGAGTCCTCTTCATCGTCATACTCATTTGAATACCTTGATGCTCTCACTCCCGCTGAAATGACAGAAAAAATATATGTTAAGAATGGCTGTTTAATTGAGAACATCTGCTTATGATATCATGCATTATGTCTACACTACAAATTACCAGAATTTAAACTTAAAAAGAATTGTAAAAAAATATATTCCAGAAATAACTTGTATTGACAAAGATTTCAGACCTCAAGTCAAGCAAGTAAAGTCATAAAGCAATTGTGAAAATAACAAATAAAATGTGAACTATTGAATGAAAACATACAATATAAATTTTCTTGACATTTTTCAACAATGTTATAATTCTATATAACATGGAACCCCTCAGATTCCTTATCAAATGTCCATAAAAAAATAATTGCAGCTTTGTGACAACGAATTGGCAACTAAGCAAAAAAATGTATATACCTGCTTGTCTAAGTAAAGTTGCAACCTCTGCATCTTTAGTGAGATCTATAGGGAGTTTACCCTCTTTGTTCACCAAATCTACTCTTGCACCTATAGAATGTTGATTTAAAAAGTAAAGAGAAACAAGAAAATAATAGACATTTACTAACAGTTTCATTAGCATTAATTTTAACATTAAATGTCTGTGACATCCAGGGCTCTTTTGGGTGTTATTTTGTTGTAATACGCGCCTGAGGGGTGTATCTGCTTTTGTGAGAACTGGCACCTTTTTCATTACCAAAAAAGCTCTGACTACATATTTAACAGTAATGGACCAGTTCGACTTACATAACTATAAGAACACACAGACTTTTATATAATAGTAATAAAAGTGACAAAAAAAAAAAAGGGCAAAACCTGAATCATTACTTACTAGTAGTATCTCTCTTTTATAAAGGTAATGTTTAAAATCATTAGTTATTTGTGTTCTGGTCCATGCAGGCGTTTGAATTATTTTGTTTTCTTGCTATCTAATAAATTATGAGATATTCATTGGTGCCCTTCAGTACAAATAAATATATGTTGTGTGTTTATACAATGGTTCTCAATAAATATACATATATGTAAAAATGAGGAAGATAACATAAAACACATGAATTACTGCAGCCTTTTTCAGTCATTTACATTTGAATAAAAAAGTGAATAAACTCTCAACTTAATGCAAATGTAGAATTTAATAGTTTTGGAATTTCACACCCTTTTGTCGCTTGCCATCTATACATCAGAAACTAATTGCTGTAAGTCCTACCCCTTTCCCCTTTGGAACCATTTCCCCCTAAAATCCTACATTTCTCACCTCAGCTCCCACAAAGGAGACACAATCAACCATGATCGATTGAGCCAGAGGGTCACAAGTGACAACAAAAAATTATGCTACAAAGTTACAAACAATCCCCATGGTTTGCGAGTAGAAAGAAAGTCTTTAAAAAGGTTTAGTGCAAGTTCCTTACAAAACCAAAGATCAGAAGAACAGAAAGAAAGAGCATAACTGAATGAATTTATTTAACCATGGAACAAATTAATTTTTAATATTTAAGTTTAAAACTGTTGGCTACTTTGTCCTGAGAATATTATGAAAATAAGAATAATGAATTCTTGCTGTGCAGATTCAACAAACATGACAATAGAAATATAGGCTACTGACCAAATGTTTTTGTCAAAAGGTAAGTGTGACAAGAGTAATTATTTTGCAAGTGACACACTGTATACCAGTACCTTTTGTCAAAAATTGGTGCCAAGTTTTTACAGATTTTCACAACTATGTTTTTTTTGTTGTTCTCAGTTGATTTATAACACACCAATTTACTAAATAGAAACTTTTAAATATTATCTAAGAACATCAAATGAAGCTTACCTTTATCTAGCAACAACTGAACTGCTTCTGAATGTCCTTTCCATGATGCAGAATGTAGTGGTGTGTCTCCCAATTTGTTCTTGAAATTTTGAAAATATTAAAATAAAGATTCAATTCGTTTCTGTAATCATCTCTTTTGACAATTTTTAACTTTAATAAGAAATCAATATAGACACTGCCATTCAGAAACGGTGACTTGCTTTCAAGTCACATCAGTAATATTACTGAGATTTCGAAACACTTTAGGAAGCAAATTTGAGTGACAAACTAACATTCTTATTTAGGTTCTGGATTAAACAGATAGTATATAATTTATGGAAAGGATGGCAACTTTTTTGTTGTTGCAAGAACATGCATTAATTTCAAGAATATCTCAGTAATAACTATAAGAATATTAAATCAAGTAAAAACAATAAAAAAAGCATACCTGTACATTTACTTCACAGTTTTCAATACTAAGTAAAGTTTTAAGACATTCAATATGACCACCATGGGCTGCCCAGTGCAGTGGTGTTGCCCCAGCCTTATCTAGGCCATTCACTGACACCTATAAAAGGAATATTGCATATCAAAATAAGAGTCTGAGGTTCCTGTCATTTCAACCGGTGCTATTTCCTCAAATATTTCACAAGCTTAACTCAATATCAAATGCTTACACCTTAACCCAGACCTGTTTACCCTCAAACTCTTAAAATCGTAGAATATCATCACAAAATCGTTCAATACGTTATATTTATAGTAAAAAAATAAACAGTATATACAACCTATACGCCTAAAAATCGTACATTGTACGCCAAAATCGTAAGAGTAAACAGGTCTGCCTTAACCTATAAGAAATTTTAGAAGGTGTGACCTCATAATGTAAATGTATTTACCATATCTGTTTTATATAATTGATCAACTGGGTGAAGATAAATAGATTAAAATGACTGTAATGCTCTGGTAACTTTCCAGATTGCAATTTATAAAAATGTAAAGTTTGCTCCATCAGATTAAAAAATATGCATTTAATTACCCTGTTTTGGATACATTCATTCATGAAATCCATGTTACCCCGCTTTGCTGCATCATGTAGAGGGTTGTCAATAGATTCTGTATTTTCTTCAACTTTGAATACAATATATAAAAGGTGTAATCAATGCAAGAAAAACTAATCAAATTACTAAATGATAAAATATATGTTACAAATATTGAAATCTGATAAATGTAAACAGTTTGCTTACAAATCAGGCGATTCTGACAAATGCCAATAGTCTTTCTTAAAAATGGATCGGCAGAAATATTTGAACTTTTCTGTAAACATTTTTATGACTTTTAAAAAATCAGATTTTCTAAAAACATTAAAATACATGGTTCTAAGGCTAAGTTTATTAAATAGAATAGAATATTTTGTCATTTAACCCCCAGATATGAAAATTAAATTTAACAAATTAATTAAGATTCCTACCATAGTTGCTGGGAATAAGACCTATATTTTTGCCACATTTAGCCTTCCACCAACTTGAATCTTTCATGTCCAAAATATATAGAGTGTCTCCTTCATCAAATGTCAACTCATCTGCCTAAAGAAAATTTTACTACCACTGGTGATAATATCCTAAGAGTAATTGCGATTTTTTATAATTTCAATTCCAAAAAAGGAACAAGGTAGAAGTATTTTAAATGGTTAACAAAAAATTCATAATCACTTCAAATTCTTTTATTTCAAATCCTTAATATTAATAGCTTAATTTTTATTTAACTGGCTAAGAATGGTGACCACTTTCTAAGCTGTACATTTTTATACCTAGGAGGTTGTCTGCAGCTCTCACTACAGCATATGAACTTCAAAAAATATAAATTCACCTTTTATGTATTTTTGAGATATTGTCACATGGTCATGTATTAGTAAATGTAATATCCCATTATATTACTGTTGTAAAAAAAAAAAAAGTAATTACAATTTTAGTATTAATATTAGCATAATTAAAACATTGTTTTTACCTGTTGTGCTTCATATCTGTAAAGAGCTCGAACGACCTTCACTTGACCTGAGAATTCAGGGAAGAGCAACATGAGAAGAACAATTAAATAAGAAGCAGAGCACTTCAATATTAAAATATGTACAACATGAGGTTAGATGCATACATTATACAATAATAATAAGCTACATGAGATTATATGTGGCATTCTTCCATTTTCGCATGATGATGGAGTATCTATTGACACTTCATCAAATGGCTTATGAGGCTGATTCTCAATGTATGTGATGATTCATTTCAAGAGGTTATGAAATGTTTAAACTAATATTAAAATATTAATTTAGACAATGTTACATAGTGTTTGATTCAATTTTGACTTGTGTGTGAGCAGAGGCGTTACTAGGGTTGGTGTCACCCAGATCATTCAGAACTGCTTAAAGTATTGTATGTAAATCAGCAAAACACAAATGAAGAAAACATAAAATTTGAGGTAAAAAATTGTTTAAAAATGCAACAAATTACTTCTTATTGTTACATTAAGCTTTACTGTTAAAATTTTCCTTTCCCATCTTACATGATGCAACCATGTCAATTACTTCATCAAAATCAACATTCTTCACTTATCTCTTTAAATTTACAAAATTGCAAGACCAGAAAAGCCTGGACTGTTCCAAGGTAGATTGCAAAAAGTTCTTTACAAGATTCTGTTTTTAAAAGCTGCTTTCACATGAAGCCATTATGAGAAATACTTGTAGGCTTAATGAGAAGATTCCCAACCCCTTTCTAGCAGCACCCTGCTTTTTTAACAACCTGCTTTGGTCAAATCCTGCTCATTGCCACCCTGTTCTGTTTGGAACTTTCTCTAATGGCAGATGGAAAAAAATTGATAACCTCAGTCCCTATATTCTTAAAAATTCGAAAGCTATGGACTAGACAAAATATGATAATGCTTCCACAATGTCTGGAATTCATTGACATGTACAAGCCCTATAGAAAAAAAAGAAGGAAAATACTATTTTTAATGGATTTTCGAATCCTCCACTTAACGTGTGTGTTCAACACTCTTTTACTGAAATTGGATCAGTGTAACATCATTTTTTCTTCTCTTTAGAGAATGTTTTCCTTTTTCTTCTACCCACAGATGGAATTTTTTAGTTCAAAAACACACTGGAATATCACAGAAAACACTATCAACAACACGTTGGAGTGCACATCACAGTAAAACCAGTCAAAAACAAGTTTGATGAATGTGTAGCGGCCTTTGAAGTGCTGTCTTATTTCAGTTCTCAGCTACTTTTTGGCTGTTATACTTGAGGAATGTATCTTACATAGTTATAGCTGGAGATTAAATTCTCAAGTCTTGACAAGATTAAACGATTCAACATTTTTCTGCATGATATGCACAGTCATATTGTGGAGCATGAAATTGTAAAAAAAAAAAGAACACTTTTAAAATAAGACCAATGTGTAGAATTTCAGTAGAGAGAATAATAAGGTTCAAGATGAACATAGCATGGAGCAATAAATAGACCCCATCTCCCCATTGCATATTTACAGAGCACACACTGCTCAGCCTAACCGAATTTTATAAAATGATAACCGAGTTAATTTTTCACACATGTAACCAATCCAAATGAGTTGAAGATTGATGAGTCAGAAATGAGGTGACCCTAAAATTAGGTCAGAAAAACACTGTTTTGTCCATGATTCAATGCAGATTGAAGTGTTTGGTAACTTTCATAAATGACAGAAAGCTGTAATAATCTAAATTCTGAGAAAGAAAGCTTACCATTGATACCAATGGGCGATTCTAAGCACGCTACAGTTCTTAAATACATTTACCTCATGACCTTCAATTAATTTCTTTTTGTTCTTGTCATTGTTATACTGTGAACTTATTTAAACAAGAATAAATCCATCATGGAAGTCAGAAATGGGGGTGGGGTGACGCCATGAGTTTATCGCACACGGGTGACACCAACCCTAGCTACGCCACTGACTCAAATGACTAAAACTTTTAACTAAGAGGAGCAGCATTAGACTATTTGGTCTTGAGTAATGAAAGTGAATGGACAGGTCAGAGAGTGAGAGTAGTTCAGAGTGATAAGTAATTAGTAATAGCCACTTTTTACTAATAACTGGACTATTTAATTAATACTGGTTGTTAAATTAGTCTATTTCGTGTAATTAAGCATACCTGGTATGATATTACTCAATCCTAATACTAACACTAGTACAAGTAGGCAACTGACATTTAAAAATAATAATATACAAACCTGGCTTTGGTACTGGAGGCGGTGGACGAACTGGCCTTGGCGGATTCGACATATCTTACTCTTAATAATTAATGTATTGTAAATTGTATGTTATTGATGGAAAAACTATTTTAAGGGTTTTCCTGTAATATTTATTGATATCAGTGTTGTGTCTAACACTAAAGGTCAAACTTAGATGAAGGAACAATTGAAGTTCGTTTCGTTGTACTTCCTGATGTAGAGTATACCGTCACTGTTTGTAGTGTAAACACGGAAGTGTAAATAAACTTAAATGTCCTAAAACTGAAGAGTGGAGCGATGCTATTTAATAATTATAATAAAATAATATGCCACACTTATAATCGTATGCTGACTACCTATAAATTTGACTCGTTTAAAATAAGAACAGATATTGATATTATTTTAATTAGTTTATTTATTTTGTATATTTAATTCAACAAATCAATAAGGGGGCAAAAAAAAAAAAAAAAAAAAAAAAAAAAAATATATATAATAAAAAAAAAAAAAAAAAAAAAAAAAAATATTTTGTATATTTAATTCAACAAATCAAAAAGGGGGAAAAAAAAAAAAAAAAAAAAGGTGACAAGTTTGTTTCGTTCATAATTTTAAAAACTAACTAACCGGATATAGTGATTGCTTCCTTGGAGAAGTTAGACGCTCGCGGGACTCGTCCAAACTTGACAGTTAACAGTGAGTAAGATTCAAAATAAACACATTAATAGTGTAGTGTTCTAAACAAGGCATTAACAGTGATAAACCAAAATATCGTCGCAATATTGTATAAATTAATATAAAATAATAAATTAAAACTTTTATTATGCCTTTTAATACAACTTTTATTATACCTTTTTAATACAAGTTACAAATACAACAATACTTAGACTTAACTTATACTATACTTAATTAAAAATTATGCTACAACTTTTATGATTAATTAATATTTCTAATTTGGTTCTGATTTGGAATTTATTGACTTAACTTACCCTGCTCTGAGAAAGAAAAGAACTTGTTATTCCTGTTACTGTTAGTTTGAGGATTAATGATTTAATGTTAGTATACAGTATACGTTTTATAATGTTATATATATAAATTGAAGATTAGAATTTTATAAACTCGACTTAATTAGGCCAGTATTAGGCTGTTGTTCATTTTAAGTTTTATTTAAATTAACTAATTAAACTAAATATTGTCATCGTTATTTATACTTATACTATTTCCCTCCTACAATATACACTACTCCACATTTTTCAAAATCAACCAAGCTGATTCTCAAATTTCTATATTTTTATTTAAAAAATTTCCTAATTTTTACTAAAAAAATTTCCTCAGATGACACAGAGAACCAACATGCTTGAGTAAAACATCATAAATGTTCTTAATCTTAACTAAATGATCACCTGTAATTTAAAGAAAAGAAAATGTGGACTGTCACTGTAGATTCAAATGTTCCCATCAACGCAACAGCAGACACATCTGGAAGATTCACCCCTGTTAGTTTCCTAAATTTATCAGACAGAAATGGTGATGTTGAAGAACTTTTGTCATCCTCACCACGAAGACTCCAATCATCAAATGTTAGAGGGAGGCCTCCTTCTGGCAGAGTGTCTCTGCCATTGAAGCCACTTTCTCGGTCACCAAGTCCTAGCACTAGCAGACAGCCAACATCTTCTGCTGACTGGAGAAAAACTTTGGAGAATGCAGTAGATGTTCCTGTAAGTTAACTTGTGTAGTATTTATATACATTGACAATGTCTATAAAAGTGTAAATGTAGTGAGCATTCCCATTGTCTTTATAAAAAAAAAATCATGATAAATAAAACAAATTTAAAGGGTACTGATTGATCGATAAAAGTTGGCTACTGTGGTGTCATAACAAAGGCATCAGAGCATTGGGAAATCAAAGTCTACAGTTAGGGTGGAGTTTGTAAAAACATTTCTTGAAGCATCCATGCCAACCTGTTAGTTAAAAAAAAATTGTTCAAAAAGTGAAAAAACAAAAAAAACTGTTCAGCAAATTGCTGGAAAAAAAAGAGAAAATCCAAAAAATTTAGATTTATATTTTTTTCATCCTTTTTATCAATGTTTTCAGAGCATACATAAAAAAATGAATAGTTTCCCCTTCTCTCCATTTAAGCAGGTTTACAGCATTCATAAATTGATACATTGCATCTTTTAAATGAAAGTAACTTTTTATAATTATGAATTTTTTTCAAATTTTGAGTTTTTTTACACTGGGCATTAGCAAATTAAAAATAGAACAATTCGATAGAAATTTAGAAGTATTTAGACAAAATTCTTTGGTTAATTTTCTTGCTGTAGTAATACAGCTTTCTTTATTTAAATTAACTAACTAAATTTAAGTTCTTCTGTGATAGCGTCGTTAGTTTACCTTCCCTTCTAACCTAATTTTTTTTTATCTTACCAGATGGATTAAGCCATGCCTTTGTAATAAATAAATAAATAATTGATTATAATATTAAATATTAAGAACATTTACTAACTCTGTAGTTCTTGTAATAAACTACACTCACAGATTTGTAATTATGGTTAACTACTCAATTTAGTAACTACTGCTCTATGCTGTTTTAGTATTATAAATGATATCAATGAAACTGAGCTGTTTATAAATTTAGATGGCCTAATGATCTTCAACATGGTCATTTTGAACAGACAAAAGGGATTTAAGCTTCTTGTTGCCCAACGTTGAATTTATTGTACCACCAGTTTTGAACATGTCTCTTGTGCAAAAATTTTTTTGGGTCTTAATCCATTTAAAAACTTTACAAAAGTCAGTATGGCAGTACAACTTGGCAAACTTATAACAACTCTACAAAGTACAGGTAAACCGTACAAGTTGGCATCTATGCTTTGAAGTCTGTCATAAAGTTTCTCACGTTGTTGATAAAACATCCCAATAATATATGATTATTTATTTCAGTCTATATGTATCAGCAAGAGTATATAACCTAAGTAACTTTGTTTGTACACCTTCAATGAACAAGTTACTATATATAAGTTAATAATGTTCTGTGAGATAGTCATCAAGATGACCCTAAGCATCTTCAAAACAAAAGTAGATAAAAAGTCTTATTTTGGTGTATTGATCTTTATAAATAACAACCCTTAGACCTAATCTGAGAATTTCTTGAAATGCTTGATACCCCGGCCAAGTGGCTGTTTTTAACAGACCTGAAGCTTTACTAGATTTATGGACCTGTTGAAGTCTTATCTCTGCTGTCTAGAATTCCTCTCATCTAACCTTTCTTGACCTTTGTAGGTCTTACTCCTATTAATGTTATATCCATAATATACTACTTATTTATAAATGCTTGTGTGCATCATGCAGTGTTATAAAAAAAAAAGGAAAACAATGGTATTTTATGAAAGGGCTGTCGCGGACATTTTCCTGGGGAATGGACTCTCTAGGGGCACAAAATTAGCTGTTAAAAAAGGCACATTTTGAGCTGAGGACAAGCCACATATTTTGTACAACCCCCCCTTCCTCCCACCATAGGGGCTCCTGGTTAAATGGTCTGTATCCTATATATCATCATATGGAGCTATGGGCTCATTGGCCCCCTCCCCCCGTGGTGATACAGCCCTGTCTCCCCTGTTAAAATGCACATGATATTTATGTTCAGGACGGTCTATTGCACCATGTCATTGTTCTGTTCATGAACCATGTTTTCTCTGACCATCTCATGACTCTCTTTGCTGGCCCTTCCCATTTAACAGGACACAGACTGGAGCGATTTTCTTGCACAGAAGGTTTTTACATTTCTTCTTTTAATTTTTCTTGCAAAAGAGTTTATTAACATCTTAACATAGAGAGCAAATGGCGGAGGGGTTTGCTTCTGTGTGTGCATTATCAGTCGTGTTTACACAAGACATTTTATGATTTCACTACACTTAACTTATTTCTACATTTTTGTTGTTGTTCTTGTTGTAAATTGAAAAGTATTTTCTCTACATCATCAGTGTTATAATAGTTTTTAATCATCAGTTAAAATAGTTTTTCTCCAATTTCTGATTCTTTAAAATAAATTAAAATAAAAACAAAAATGTTTTCTTAATGTAAGAAAAAAAAAGAAAGATTCACACTTAGAGAAAAAGAGAGCAAAAAGACCTTTGCTGTCTTCATCAATCATGGTAAGGGCTCGTTTGAAAATTATGTCATGCAAAAAATGACCTTTTCAGACCCCCATCCCCCGTCACAAAGTGTCACAAATCCCCCCCCCCCCCCCCTTTTAGTGTCACGTCACACCTATAAAAATTGAAAACATACATAAAATTTTCACAAATAAACTAAGATTTTATTTTATTCTCTAAAATTTTCCCATAATGGATTAAGATCTATTATTAGAAAACTGTGACGTAAAACAACGAAGTCCTCCCCGAGCCAATGTAAAGTGGCCACAACATTTTTTGCATAGTTTTCGATATTTGCACAAGGTGACAAACACTGAGTTTCACGGTACCTATAATACCTGAGACAATTTCGACCTCAAATTAATGCTCTTAAAATTAATTTAATTAAGATTTTTCAAAATTAGTAAATTTTAAATTTTAGATTTAAATATTTTTTGTGATGTCACAAATTTTTGTTGCCCCACCCCCCCNTTTTTTGCATAGTTTTCGATATTTGCACAAGGTGACAAACACTGAGTTTCACGGTACCTATAATACCTGAGACAATTTCCACCTCAAATTAATTCTCTTAAAATTAATTTAATTAAGATTTTTCAAAATTAGTAAATTTTAAATTTTAGATTTAAATATTTTTTGTGATGTCACAAATTTTTGTTGCCCCCCCCCCCCTCTGTCACATAGGGTCTCAAATTCTCGACTTCCCCCCTGAGCGTGACGGAATTTGCAAACGACCCCTAACCATGCATTGTAACAATGTGCTTAGAGCACACTTGGTTTGATAGTTTTACTACCATAGCTTTTTGAATTTTTAACCATTGGCATTGTTTGTGATTGGTTTTGGATTTGCTTTCATTGTGACGTCATGAGTGCTTAGTTTGTATTGTAAGTGGCAGCCAGTCTTATAAGTTATTCGGCACTCTATGTCAAATCAACGACACCTTTTTCTAAATTTTTTTTAAAATAAAAAAAGGAGAATATAAACGAAGACATTGTCCACCAACTTGCCCACTGACCAGTTGTCAGTCTTACACCCTTAGAACCGATGCTGGACTAAAAAGTTACCAGGATTAAGTTTGTGAAAACCAAGGCGGCACGTTCCTGCTCCAACATGCATTTGTTTGGTTAAGTTTAGAAATAATGCACCAAAATCTGTATGGCTTGGTTGGTCAGTGTCAAGCGCTTGGTGGGCCAATGCTTGGAGTGTGGTGGGTCAATGCCTAGAGTGTGGTGGGTCAATACCTAGAGTGTGGTGGGTCAATGACTAGAGCTTGGTGGGTCAATATGTCTAGAGTGCATGAATTTTGG